AATTAAAATAACATACAATATAAAAGTTAAGATAACTAAAAATAAATTAAATTAATCGGCCTCCCAATTTAAAACCCCAAGCTATACAATTAAAAAACTAACCCATAATACCTATTAAGGCCAGGCCGGCTTGCTGAAATAAAAACATCTTCAGGGCCTTACGGAAAGTGCAGAGATCCGGATCCCGTATTCCGGGAGGTAGCTCATTCCAGAGGGCGGGTGCTCCCACAGAGAAGGCTCTCCATTGCATTCCTCCATTCCTGCTCCATTGCAACAGAGAGCAAGCAGAAGAAGTGGGCAGATGGCCACACAGGGTCTTAGTAGATGGGGTTGTTGGAGCTGCTGCTGTGAGGCAAGGCAGGTGTCAGCATCAGTGGCCTGGGCCCTGAGGTAAGCCAGTGAAGGGTAGGCATGCAATGACATGCTGCAGGGCCTCTTGCCCTGCCACAAGCAAGCAGAAGAAGTTGGCTTCCCATATATGGAAAAAAATAAAATACCCCCAGAAAATAAGCCCTAGCACTTATTTTGGGGCCCAAAAGAAAATAAGACCTGGTCTTATTTTCGGGGAAACACGGGTACATACATACACGATAGACGTACACGAATCATTATCAGAGAATCATTGTAGGTTATTAAAATAATGACTAATGACACAAATAAGCAAATCATCAGTAAAAGGTTGTAGGAAGCCACAGCAATAACCAACCAAAAAATAAAAAGAGACATAAAAGATGAGAGCAAGGAATAGTGATATTGTAATATTTCAGATATCATTATTAAATTAAATCTATATAGTCCTCAAGGGGTGTGGTGGCTCAGCGGCTAAGATGTTGAACTTGTTGATCAAAAGGTCAGCAGTTCAGTTATTTGAATCCCTAGTGCCGCATAATGCGGTGAGCTCCCATTACTTGTTCCAGCTTCTGCCAACCTAGCAGTTCGAAAGCATTTAAAAAATGCTATTAGAAGAAATAGGGACCACCTATGGTGGGAAGGTAACAGCATTCCATGTGCCTTTGGCATTTAGTCATGCTGGCCACATGACCACGGAGACATCTTCTGACAGTGCTGGCTCCTTGGCTTTGAAATGGAGATGAGCACCACCTCCTAGAGTTGGGAACGACTAGCACATATATGCGAGGGGAACCTTTACCCTTTACCTTTACCTATATAGTACTCAAATTGTTGTGTCTGTAAATCTTATTGGTCAAAACATTGCATTCTAGGACAAAAAATTTTTTCAGGCAAGGTTAGGCTAACTTACAAAACAGTTCCAAAATTTGAGACCCCTGACTTTTCTGGAGTTGAAAATTAGCAAATTTTACAACACATTTTCTGACCTAAGGCAAAATGTCATGAAACATTTTTTGTACTATACAGTTCAACATGTGTTATTTTCAAAGCATGCACACCTCTGACTATTGCTTTAAATTTTTAAGAAGTTTCCCAATGAAAGAATTCATCGGAAGCTCTTTTGTTATTGAGGCCATTGAGGAATCTGATAAGGAAATATCTCTGAAAGAATGACCAACAGGTCATGAATGAATTTTATATTCTGAATGAAGATAGTTAAACCCAATATTGAATCTTTCTTTCTGTGTCCAACTGTGTAGATTATTATTTTTTTAAATAAATCTATTTGTTAATATTCAGCACTTTCTCTCCAAGGATTTGGAGATGACGAAGGCAGGTCTTAGTACTATTGTGTGGGATAGTTTGAGCCTGTGACTCCTGAGGAAGTGGACAAGGCTGTAAGAGCGATGAGTTCCTCCACTTGTTTGTTGGACCCATGCCCCTCCTGGCTGGTTTTGGCCAGCAGGGAGGTGACACGAGGCTGGCTCCAGGCTTTAGTTAATGCGTCCTTGAGGGAAGGGGCCTTCCCGCAACTATTAAAGGAAGTGGTTGTAAGGCCCCTCCTCAAGAAGCCTTCCCTGAATCCAGCAGAATTAAAGAACTTTCGTCCAGTCTCCAACCTACCCTTTGTGGGAAAGGTTGTAGAGAAAGTGATGGCACTTCAGCTCCTGCGGTCATTGGAGGAAACGGATTATCTAGATCCTTTTCAGTCTGGCTTCAGGTCTGGCTACAGCATGGAAACTGCTTTCGTCACGCTGATGGATGATCTCTGGCGAGCCCGAGATGGGGATCATTCCTCCATCTTGGTGCTACTTGACCTATCAGTGGCTTTCAATACCATTGACTATGGTATCCTTCTGGGATGATTGAGGGAGCTGGGAGTGGGAGGCACCATGTTACGGTGGTTCTCCTCCTATCTCTCTGGTCGGTCACAGTCGGTGTTGGTAGGAGGACAGAGGTCGACCCCTAGGCCCGTCGTTTGTGGGGTGCCTCAGGGCTCGGACCTCTCTCCCCTCCTATTTAACATCTACATGAAGCTGCTGGGTGAGATCATCCAACGACACGGGGTGAGGTATAAGCAATACACGGATGATACCCAGCTGTATATCACTACCCCTCATCAATTCAGTGATGTGGTGGATGTGATGTGCCAGTGCCTGTAGGCTGTGAGGGTCTGGATGGGAGTCATCAGGCTCAGACTTAACCCAGAGAAGACCGAGTGGCTGTGGGTGTTGCCTCCTAAAGACTATGTCAATTGTCCATCCTTGGTTCTGGGGGGGGGGAAGAAATTGTCCCCCTTAGAACGGGCTCACAATTTGGGTATCCTCCTAGACTCACAGCTAAGATTAGAGCAACATCTGATAACTTTGACTAGGGGGACCTTTGCACAGGTTTGCCTAGTGCACCAATTGCAACTCTATTTGGATCGGGAGGCTCTGCACACGGTCACTCATGCCCTTGTCACCTCACGGTTAGATTATTGCAACACGCTCTACATGGGGCTACCCTTGAAAAGTGTTCGGAGACTACAGTTGGTCCAGAACTCAGAGCGCGAGCTGTCGTGGGTGCACCTAGGTACACCCACATTACACCAATTCTCCGCGAGCTGCACTGGCTCCCTATTGGTCTCTGGTCACAATTCAAGGTGTTGGTTATTACCTTTAAAGCCCTACATGGCTCAGGGCCAGGTTATCTTCGAGACCACCTTCTGCCGCATAACTCCCAACGACGGTAAAATCCCACAGAGTTGGTCCCCTCCGGGTCCCGTCAGCTAAACAATGCCGGCTGGTGGGCCCGTGGGGGAGGGCCTTCTCTGTGGCTGCCTCAGCTCTCTGGAACCAGTTACCTCCTGAGGTCTGGACCATCCCCACCTATTGGCCTTCCGAAAAGCGGTGAAGACCTGGCTTTTCCGGCAGGCCTCGGGCCATTGATCTCGCTCTTGTGATCTGGCGAGATCCAGCCATGAATGGCATGAATGAGTTTTTAATGTTTTTAATTTTTCAATGTTTTTTTATAATTATTTTTAAAAATGTATTGTTAGCCACCCTGAGTCTTCGGAGAGGGGCGACATATAAATTTAATTAATTAAATTAAATTAAATTAAATTAAATTAAATTAAATTAAATTAAATTAAATTAAATTAAATTAAATTAAATTAAATTAAATAATTAAATTAAATTAAATTAAATTAAATTAAATTAAATTAAATTAAATTAAATTAAATTAAATTAAATTAAATTTTGAGGAGTCATTGGCAGTGATGGGATTCAAGTAATTTAACAACCGGTTCCTCCAAGTAACAGGTTGGGTGGGCGTGGCTGGGGTTATATGACTGACTAGGCCTGGCAAACTTGACATCACTCATGGCAAGGTGGGGCAACATAGGTGGGCGGATGCTGCCAAAACAACCAGTGGTGCAATTTGCCGTTTCTCCAATCTGTGCAAAAATTTAACAACTGGTTTGCTTGGACTGGTCCAAACCAGATGAATCCCACCTCTGATCTGATCTCTGGTCTCTGAGCTTGGTTGTCTCCTTGCAGACATTTCCTTTATTGGTACATGCTGGCTTTTTCTAAAGCTCTGAATATCTGGTTCTATCCATCAGTCTGGAGTCCTGTGGAATACAATCAGGAGAATGTGAAGGGTCCATTCTCCTGATTGTATTAACAATCATTTGTTGTGACATCCTATAATTTTACAGAAATATGGACACACCTCACCCCCATCCCTCTGGGAAGAGATCCTACAGATGTCATCAGGGTCACCTCTGAATTGTTAAATCATCCTGCTAGAACTGATGATGTTACCTAGGTTGGGTAATGAAACATATGCCAGAAAACAGCAAAGCTCAGAGAGCACCAAGGACCCTTCATTTCAAGCCTGAGCTAAATATGTTCTCCTTTTTTGGTACCCTGTTCTCTGTAAGCACCTGTCCCTGTATTCTCTATTCTGAATTAAAATAGTTAAATCCAATACACCATCTTTCTGTGTCCATGTTTGCATATTATTGTAAAAAAAATCAGCTGATTTTTAAAATTACTTTTATTTCAGAAAGAGGGGCAACACTTTGTCAAATTGACAATTAACAAGTAGGTAGGTTTTCTAAGGCCAGCTAGGAGAAAATATTTTAATAGATAATTAACTCTTCCTGGAATTGGTCCAAATTACTGTCATGTGTTTATTTGCTCAAAGCTCCAGAGATATTCCAGAAAGCAGTGAAAAGTAGAAAGCAAATTTGAAAGAGGTTATAAACTAATCCTGGTTCAATGGAGAGCTTGGGGTGGTGGGAAATGTCCAACAGTGCTATTGAGTTCAATTTCTCCAGCATCCGTTCTTTCTTTGATCAGACCTATTTCAAATCTGAGTTGTAGAAATCTCAGTCGTTCTTCAAGCACGTGTCTATAAAAATGAAAAGTTTAGATTGATGCTTTGGTCTCTGGACGTGTGTTGGGAAGATCCAGAATGCTAGGTCAGATCCATTGGTGTGGCTTGATATGTTGGAGACCTCTTTGGGAAGATGTTTTGGCTGCTGATGTGTTATTCATTCTGATGTTCCCAGTGATCAAAGTGAATGCACTCAAGTGCCCAGAGGTTGATCCTATCCCAATTCCACATGAATGGTACCAACCAGGTGATCTCTCATTGGAGGGATGGCTTCACAGATCATCTATGCCTTCAGCGAGCATTCATTTCATGAACATCCATCTCAGGAGCTCTATGGACTTTCAGAGTAAGCAAAATCCACTCTTTTCTTCACCTAATGATTCCTTGTTTCTTTTCTCCAGTTTTTTCTAGCTGACCACATCTATCTCTATGAAAAAAAACCCATAAAGAAAGCAGATGAAAGCTTTATCAGATCAAGTAATCACTTTAGTTTCTGAGAGTTTCTGGCTGTAGATTTTGTTTCCCATCATTTTTATCTTAAATTTAATGTTATGTAGGTTAAACATGATGGCTAAATAGCTAGATTGCAAATCCCTAAGAAAGGGGATTTCATAAAATGAAGAAATACTTTAAAATATATGGTCCCCTTATTATTAAATAAAAGAATAGAATTATTATTTTTTCCAGGAAGAAAAATATATCCATAAGAAGGACCATTAACATCAAATTTAGATAAGTTTATTTGAAAGATAAAATGTAGAGAAATATATTTCGAGAGTTCAAGGAAGAGTTAGCCCATGGTAAGATTGATAAATTTAAATGTATGTATGTATGTATCTATGTATGTATAAATAAATAAATGTACTTCTCAATACTGTTCTATGCATTGTACAATTGTTTCACGAAAGACTTTCTTTATTTGCAGTGTGATTACAAAATTCTACCAGCATGTCCTTTCCTTGGTCTTTGCTGTCAAGGAGATCAATGAGAACCCACAAATCTTGCCCAATGTTACCCTTGGATTCCACATCTATGACAGCTACAACAACCCTAAAATGACCTATCGGACCACTCTGGACTTACTTTTCAAATCCGATAGATTTTTCCCCAACTACAAATGTGGACTTCGGAAAATTCTTCCGGCCGTCATTGGAGGACTTGGATCAGATACTTCATCCCATATGGCAGAAATTGTAGAATTCTACAAAATTCCACAGGTGAGTCCAAGTGTGAGGGGATCAATCTTGTGCATGTTAATTGATTTAAAGAATTAATCAATTGATTAAGTATGCCCAAGAGCATCCATAGCTTTTCATTCTCATAAATCTCATCTATGATTCAAAATAAAAGTTAGATTTCTTGGTGCAGATTGAAACAACTCACTGTGGCCAACCTGCAGCAGGACAATTCACCACAGGACAATTTAATCATTCAGTTTGTCTAGATCTCCTCAATACCATGTCTTGATGTTTTCACTTAGCTCACATATGGATCATTTCCCCTGGAAGAAATTGATACCGGTGTATCATCTTCACTTTATTTTATGGCCCCAAATGAGGTTCCGCAATATATCGGGATTATCCGATTGCTTCAACTTTTTGGATGGAAATGGATTGGGCTCTTTGTTGCAGACACCGAGAGTGGAGAACATTTTTTGCAGAAATTGGAGTCCTTGTTTTCTGAGCATGGAATCTGCTTAGCTTTCACACAAAGATTTCCACAATTATTCTGCTTGGATGACTTGGCCATAATAAGTGATATCATGTTTCATTTTTTTACACATTTCACAGATGTTAAAACAAATACATATATCATCTACGGAGAATCTTTTGCACTTGCATGGCTCACAGCTCTCAAATCTCTGTGGGATGCTACAAATAAGGGAAATGCATTTTTAAGCAAGGTGTGGATCAGCACCAGCCAAATTGATTTCATGCTACCAGGATCTCAGAGGGAATGGAATCTCCAATTTTATGATGGGGCCATTGCCTTTCAAATCCATTCCAGTGAAAATCTGGAATTTGAGGAATTTCTTCAGTCCATAAAGCCATATTCAACTCATGGAGATGGATTTCGAAATCATTTTTGGGAGGAAGCATTCGACTGTTTCTTTCCTAATTCAGAATTGTCATCAGTGGACAGACAAAAATGCACTGGGAATGAAGAACTGGGGAATCTTCCCGAATCTATATTTCAATTGCAGATGACAGGTCACAGCTACAGCATTTATAATGGGGTTTATGCTGTAGCTCATGCTTTGCATAGCATGCTATCCAAGGGATCCAATCTGAAAAAAATCTTGGCAGATAAAATTGCTGAATCTCCAGAACTACAGCCTTTTAAGGTAACATATCTCCAGCAAAGTTTTTTTTTTTTCCTTTCAATGAAGAACTTATTTCAAAATAATTTAGCTCACAAAATCGGCTAATCTTTAATTCCAGGCACAATCTATTGTTCAAAGAGCTACAGTAGCAGCCAAAATTGTGGAAACCTTTTGGGGAAAGTGTATTTTCTAAAACTAGCTAATAAGACCACTTTTATTTGGAGTAGTACCATAAAATTATATATCAATGGAAAGAAAATTTAATCAGGAATGTAATGCAATAACTTTTATGAAGGATTTGTTATTTGAATAGCAGTTACAGTATAAAGAAGAAAATTGAAACATGTAGAAAAAAAATGAGATATACAAAAATTATCACCATGTCAGTTAATACTTAATTGAGTAAACTTTAGCATGAATTTCAGCCTTATAATGTCTTCCCATGGAGTGAACCAAGTCTTTTAGTACTGCAGCTGTTATAATGTGAAATCAAGATTGAATGATTGCTTCTATTAACTGGGTTTTATTGCTGGGTCGCTTCTGACTAACAAGTTTCTTTAGTCGGCTTCATAGATTTTCAATTGGGTGAAGGTCTGGGCTATTCCCAGGCCATTACAGCAGTGGAATAGGATTATCTTGAAACTCAAAAAAAAAAAAAAAAAAAGTGGTGTTATTAGCCATCAAGTATCAAGTACCAAGAGCCTTGGTACTACAGTGGTTTAAAGCACCCTGTTATTAACACAGCTGCCTGCAATTTACTGCTGGTTCGAATCTCTCCAAGGCTCAAGGTTGACTCAGCCTTCCATCCTTTCTAAGGTAGGTTAAATGAGGACCCAGTTTGTGGGGGCAATAAGCTGACTTTGTATAAATATACAAAAGTATGAAGGCTATTGCTTAACGCACTGTAAGCCGCCCTGAGTCTCCGGAGAAGGGCGGCATATAAATCAAATTAAAAAAAAAAAAAAAAAAAAACCCTCAAAAATACACTTTTCCCAAAAGGCTTCCACAATTTTGGCCACTACTGTATGATAAAAACAATTATTGACCTTATCTGCTCCAATTAGATTCAAAGTTTCTTCTCAACAAAGTTTGCATCACACAATTCTGTATGTTATTCATTGATAGGTTGACTTTTTGCTCTGTTGTGGAAAACTGCATATACAATAGTTCTGTGTTTTGTATTGGCATTTTGTTCAATGAAACTGAATAACGATTTTGGGAAGGAAAACATAGAACTTCTGATATGTTGCTTTCTCTTATCATTGTGAATTCTACTTCATTGCTTTCTTCTTCTCTTTCAAGTAGCTCCACCTATTTCTTAAAGGCATTTCTTTCAACAATTCAGCAGGCGAAGGAGTGTCTTTTAATGAGAAGAGGGAAGTTGCAGGTGGATTTAGCATCATCAATATGATCGCTTTTCAAAACAGGTCCATCCGGAGTGTGAAAGTTGGAACGCTACATCCTGATGCCTCCCATGGAAATGAATTGACTATTAATGAAAATCTGATAGAATGGCACAAAGGTTTTAATCGGGTATGGAACTGCATAAATGTAGAATATATTTTTTACAACCTTTTTTAAATAACGGAACAGATTTCAGTTAAAATGTCTCCAACTGATCTCTGCTGGTCATGTCCAAGAACCTTGGAGTACTCATATCAAATGATCTAAGTACTAAAGCCCACTGTAACAACATCGCCAAAAAGGCATTAAGATTTGTAAACCTAATCTTGCGTAGCTTCTTCTCTGGTAATATTACACTACTAACCAGAGCATACAAAACATTTGCTAGACCAATTCTCGAATACAGCTCATCTGTCTGGAACCCGCACTGCATATCGGACAATAATACAATTGAATGTGCTCAGAAATATTTTACAAGAAGAGTCCTCCACTCCTCCGCTTGCAGCAAAATACCTTATGCCATCAGACTTGAAATTTTGGGCTTAGAAAATTTAGAACTACGCCACCTTCGGTCTGACCTAAGCATAGCTCATAAAATCATCTGCTACAATGTCCTACCTGTCAATGACTATTTCAGCTTCAACCGCAACAATACACGAGCACACAATACATACAAACTTAAAATGAACTGCTCCAAACTCGATTGCAGAAAATACGACTTCAGCAACCAACTGGTCAATGCCTGGAATGCACTACCTGACTATGTGGTTTCATCCCAAAATCCCCAAAATTTTAACCTTAGACTGGCTACTTTTGATCTCACCACATTCCTAAGAGATCTGTAAGGGGCGTGCCTAACATTCCTGTCCTAATGTCCCCTTTAATTGGATTCATTTTATGTATTCAATTCATGCTTATATTTATATATATATTATCTAATACGTATTCAACAAATAAATAAAATAAATAAATAATGATTCTCTTTATAGGTGGACTAGTTGACTGTATTTTCAGCTAATGAAAAAGCTGAATAACTTGGCAATTACCTGTGCAAACTTTTCCATGTTATGAGCAGATTCTACCAGTTTCTCTGTGCAATGAACACTGTCGCCCTGGATCTTGGAAGAGAAAATCTGAAGAGAAAAGCTTCTGCTGCTACGATTGTGTTGCATGTCAACAAGGGAAGATTTCAAGCAAGACAGGTGAGTAATGAAACTGTACAAAAATTTGAGAACATTGGGCAGTAAAGGAATTGTTTCATAAAATGTTACAATAAATTTATTTCTTATTAAAGTTTTCTAGCTTATAAAGCAAGGAATATGGGTAACCCCTACGAATCTCAGTTATTATTAATCTCAATTAGTAATAATCACCCAGGTTTTAAAATAATACATCCTGCAGAATCCTGTAAACCATACAACGTCTCTTTTGTTACAGCATTTTTGTGCCAGATGTAAGAATGTAAAGTGGAATAAAAACATGATTAATTTTTGGGAGGTCCTACAGATGGCATCTGTAGACCAAGACTGTATTGTGGCTCAACCATACTATATATACTGCTCATCCAAAGCATTAAGAAGCATATCAAGGGGGAGAAAATGGCAAAATTAGCTACTTAATTGTTGTAAAATAGAATGGAAAAGTTCAATATCCAACATGATAAAACTGTTATAATGTTTTATAATAGTTTTATATATTATATTATAGCATAGTACAGTACAGTACAGTACAGTACTATACTATACTATACTTGTATGTATTATATGAAATCCTTCAATATTTTATGATACGGTCTATAAAATGGTTTCATCAAAATTATTTACTATGGAGGTGATTGTGTGGTGCAGGAAGTGCTGCTAAATAATGTTAATCTTGTTTAATAGTATTCCCCAAAATTTGAAAATATCGTAATAGCTTTCAAAATCTTGAGAGCACCATGTGAAATCATGGATGTTTCAAACACTTCCTCCAAATTTCAGTAAAATACAAACTGGGATATTAAAAGAAAGGACAGAAAATAATTATTTTTAATACATTTTAGACTTAGGGTTTCCATTTGGAAACTATATATGCTTATATCTCACAGGAACTGGGGACTTTTTTGTGTATGTAGTTGTCTATTTCTTAAATTTGTTTGCCACCCATGTTGCCAGAAGGCAACCCATATTATGGGCAAAATTGTGTGGAAATGCAAACAAGTACATTTAAGAAAGCATTTGAACTGCTGGTATGTTCCTTGTAAAATTAAAAGAAAAATAACAGAACAATCAATATTATCTATAGATTGCTGTCTATTAATTAATTAATTAACTAAACAAAAACATTTCTAGACTACACAATCTCAAAAGACTTTGTGTATCTTGACAAATATGAAATTATAATAACAATAACAGCAACTAAATTCTGCACCATCTAAATTTAAATTATTCATTGTAATGATTTTTACAACATTGTATATTTTCATATCACACCTGAGTAAATAATTGATTTTTGATATAGTTAGTAAATACTTTGGAAAAACCCTTGGAATATAGTTACATAGGGAAAAGATCACAAAATGAATGATCAGTCTTCAAACAGTACCATAAAATATTTATTAAAAAGTGGTAAGTAGGAAATAGGTGAGTTTTCTTTTGTTCCTTTATCCAGATACAGAAGATTGTTTCAAATGTCCTGAAGATCAGTATCCAAGCAAGGATCAAGATCGATGCCTTAACAAAACAATGAGTTTTCTGTCCTTTGAAGAACCTTTAGGGATCAGTCTGGCCTCAGCTGCTTTTTTCTTCTCCCTGATGACAACCAGTGTGCTCGGAATTTTCCTTAAACGTAGAGATACCCCCATCGTCAAGGCCAACAATCGGGACCTCACTTACACACTACTCGTTGCCCTTCTGCTCTGCTTTCTTTCTTCCTTGTTATTTCTTAGTCAACCAGGGAAAATAATCTGCCTTCTCCGTCAACCAGCATTCGGCACCACCTTCTCAGCTGCTGTTTCTTGTGTGTTAGCTAAAACTATTACTGTGGTTGTCGCTTTCATGGCTACTAAGCCAGGTTCTTCAATGAGAAAATGGGTGGGGAAAAGATTGGCTCTTTCCATTGTCCTTTCTTGTTCTTTTCTTCAAGCAGGTCTTTGCATTCTGTGGCTGGCAACATCTCCTCCATTCCCTGAGTTAGACATGAATTCCCTTACAGAAACCATGATTTTGCAATGCCATGACGGCTCCATCTTCATGTTCTATTGTGTCCTGGGCTATCTGGGCTTCTTAGCTATTGCCAGCTTCATTGTGGCTTTCCTTGCCCGTAATTTACCTGACACCTTTAATGAAGCCAAGTTCATCACTTTCAGCATGTTAGTCTTCTCCAGTGTGTGGATCTCCTTTGTTCCAACCTATCTGAGCACCAAAGGAAAAGCCATGGTGGCTGTGGAGATCTTCTCCATCTTGTCTTCCAGTGCTGGGTTATTGGGATGTATCTTTTTCCCCAAATGTTTCATCATTGTGTTCAGGCCAGAGCTTAATAGCAGACACCTACTAATCAAACGAAATAATTAAATTAGGTCTACATTTTTATGACTTACACTGTAGGAATATTAGCAAAGGAAAATAAAAGATTGGTCTTTTAAATTTTTCTTCCTATTCTCTCTTCCATGGGAAACATGAAAATTGACCTTTGTTGTATTCACTTCTTCAGTAACTGAAGGCACAACTAATTTAGGAACTGGAGGAGAGATTACAGTTACCAAATAGAAATTAAACATTTAATTAAACATTTAACAGGGGCCTGGAGTAGAGATATAGAGTTGGGTATCATCATCATATTGATGATATCTCACCTCAAACTGATAAATCACCTCACACATATAGATATTAAATATAGCAGGAGAAATCACCAAGTCTTGAGACATGCTCAAAGAAGGGATCATGGCCAGGATCTCTCCTTGCCTATCAACACCAACTGAAGCCACCGCAGAGGAAGGAGGACAACCAGCATAGTACCACTCACCCCCCCAATTCCCGGAGCTGGCCTAGACTTATACTATGATTGATGTTGTTGAATGCCTTTCAGTGGTCAAGAAGAGTCAGGATGGATGCTCCACCTCCATCTCACTCCTATCAGAGGTCATCTATGGGTGCAATCAATGCCATCTCAGTCCTAAATCTTGAGACAGACAGAATGAAGCCTAGATAATCCAATCCATCCAAGGTCATTTGCAGTTGTCATGCAACCACTCTTGCCGTTTTCATTTCTAAACATAGAAAATTTGAAACTGGGTGAAAATTGTCCTGTTTAGTTGGGTTGAGTGATGCTCCTTTAAGGAGAGGGCACACCATAGTCTCCTTAAGAGCTGTTGGGACCACTCCTTTTTCAAAGGTAGGTTAACTACTACCATACCCTATCCCATGCTCCTTTCAACACAGCTTTAATTAGCCAGGAGGGGAAAGGATCTAATAAATAAGTCACCAAACAAGCCACTAAGAGGGCCTTGTTCACTTTCTCAAGCTCCCTGGTCTCAAACTCTTTCCAGGTCATCTTGTAAGCCCCCACACCTGACAGATCCTGCTTTAAAGTTGGAGTCCAACATAGAGCTAATTTGAGTGGCATTGTCCAGCAGAAGTGCTATGACTCTTTAGGTCTTACTCCTTCGAAGAAGGTACTGAGTCACCTGAAACATATATTTCTTAGACTTAGACATTGTTGAAGCTATTGAGGAATCTGATAAGGAAATATCTCTGAAAAAATGACCCAACAGGTCATGATTGTATTTTATATTCTTAATTAAGATAGTTAAATTAAATATTTAATCTTTCTTTCTGTGTCCAAGTCAGAGGTGGATTTCAGATATTGTTACCATTGGTTCGCTACGCCTGCATGCATCTTCCGCATATTGCTCCCAGCCTTCGGTGCATGCGTCCGGCCTTCTGTGCAAGCACTTTGTTCTCGCGCACACGTTCCGCGCATGCACCCGGCCTCGAAAACATAGCTAAATAGGACAGCATAGTACCAGGGCAGGTGGGTGGACCCACCTGTGATATCTGCTACTAGTTCGGGTGAACTGGTCCGAACCGGCTGAATACCACCTCTGGTCCAACTGTATAGATTATTATTTTTTAAATAAAAAATCTATTCATTAACGTTATTTTTGCCATGTGGAGCACTTTCCCTCCAACAATTAGAGTAGCCCTGAGCCTGTTGGTTTTGAAGGGTCATTGGTGCTCAATGGAGCTTGGTTGTTTCCTTGCAGACATTTCCTTTATTGGTACATGCTGGCTTTTTCTAAAACTCAGAATATTTTATTTTTATTTATTTATTTATGTAATTTATATGCTGCCCTTCTCCCAGCTGCAGGGCGGCTTACAAAAACAAAACAAAGAATTACATAAACAATTAAAATTAGTTTAAAATTAAATTAAAACCAATTAAAAATTATTAAAATTATTTGAAGTCACCCCTACGGATTCAGCCCATTTGGTGAAAAAGCCACATCTTCAATTCGCAGTGGAAGGAGAGAAGGTTCGAGGCTGTCCTGAGGCCGGTGGGCAACCCATTTCAGAGGGTCGGTGCTCACACAGAGAACGCTCTCCCCCTGGGGTCCTCCAGCCGACATTGTCTGGCTGATGGCACCCTGAAGAGGCCCGCTCTGTGTGAGTGCCCCGGACAGTGGGAGGAAATCAGGAGATGATCCTGCAGATACCCCAGGCCTAAGCCATGTAAGGCTTTATAGGTGAGCACCAGCACCTTGAAATGAACCCAGAGAGCCACTGGCAGCCAGTGCAGCTCACGCAGGAGAGGTGTCACATGGGAGTACCGAGAAGCCCCCGTAACAATCTGCGTGACCGCATTCTGGACTAATTGTAGTCTCTGGGTGCATCCCAAGGGCAGCCCCATGTAGAGGGCATTACAGTAGTCCAACAGAGACGTAACAAGGGCATGAGTGACCGTGGCAAGGGCATCCTGATCTAGGAAAGGGAGCAACTGGCACACAAGGCGTACCGGTGCGAAGGCCCCCCTGGTCACAGCCGTCAAATGATCTTCTAGGGATAGCCATGAATCCAGGAGGACTCCCAGATTGTGGACCCTTTCTGAGGGAGTAAGGATCTGCCCTCCCATCACTAGTGATGGGGCCACTAGATCAAGAGATGCCAGTATCCACAGCCACTCAGTCTTCGATGGGTTGAGTCTGAGTCTGTTTCTTCCCATCCAGGCCTGCACCACTTCCAGGCAGCAGGACATCATATAAAGGGCATCCCCAGGGTGATCCAGGGTGGAGATGTAAAGCTGAGTGTCATCAGCATATTGATGGTACCTCATACCAAAACCCTGAATGATCTCACCCAGTGGCTTCATGTAGATGTTAAAGACCAGAGGGGAGAGAATTGACCCCTGAGGCACCCCACAAGTGAGGGGCCTCGGGGTGGATCTCTCTCCCCCTGTCCACACAAACTGCAAGCGGCCCGAGAGGTAGGAGGAGAACCACCATAAAATGGTGCCTCCCACCCCCAACCCCCCGAGTCGCTGCAGTAAGATACCATGGTCAATGGTACTGAAAGCCGCTGAGAGGTCAAGAAGGACCAGGATGGAGGAGCTGCTGTGCCACCACAGACTCAACAACCTTCACTATAAAGTGAAGGTTGGAGACTGGATGATAGTTATTAAGTTATTATCTTCCCTGAAAGAAGCGTTGACAACCACTTGAATCTAGCTTCCAGTCACCTCCCTGGCTGCAGAAACGAGCCCGGAAAATCAAGGGTCCAATAAACATGTGGAGGCACCAGTCGACCCATAATCCTGTCCACTTCATCCATCATAACAGGCTCAAATTCAACCCAGATGTTACCATCAGGACAGGCCCCTGTCGACTCGTCAGACTCTGCCCAGTCAGAGTCCAACCCAGTCCGAATCTGAGTGATTTTATCTTGCAGAAACTGTACAAAATCCTCAGCTCTGCCCTGCAACGGGTCCTCCCTCGCTCCACGATTGTGGAGAGAGCGGGTTACTCTAAACATGGCGGCTGGGCGATTTTCTCAGATGCAATGAGAGCGGCAAAATATTGGCACTTTGCCGCTTCCATTGCCACAAGATAACACCTAATATGGGTTCTTAACTGTATTCAGTCAGATTCGGATCGGGAGGATCTCCAACCGCCCTCCAGGCGTCTTTTCCGACGCTTCATTTCCCTGAGCTCCACGGTGAACCAGGGAGCCACCCGGGATCTGCGTCGGGTCAGAGGCCACAGAGGCGCGATTCGATCCAAGGCCCCCACCGCGGCCTGTTCCCAGGCCACGACCAGGGCCTCAGACAAATTGTGGGATAAGGAAGCGGGAAAAGACCCAAGCTTCATCAGGAACCCTTCCAGGCCTATCAGGTGCCTGGGGCAGAACAATCTCACTGGTTCCACCTCCCAGCAGCGGGGATGACAGAGAGAAAGTCCAGCCTGAGGAGGGAATGATCGGACCATGACAGGGGATAGGTTGATAAGTTTTCCCTACCACGATCGTTTATCCACTGTCCAGAGAGAAAAACCAGGTCGAGTGTGTGTCCTCCCTTATGAGTTGGGCCCTGTACAACCTGAGTTAGATCCATGGCCATCATGGAGGCCATGAACTCCCGGACTGACTCAGATGTCTCCCTGGCCAATGGCAAATTGAAATCTCCCACAAACAGAAGGTTGGGGAGTTCAACCATCAATTCGGCCAGGACATCTAGTAGTGCAGGCAGGACTGAGGCTACAACACTGGGAGATAGGTACGTAACCAACAGAACCAACTGAACTTCAGGGTCCCATTTCAGAAGGAGGGACTCACACCTGCCTATCTGAGGAACAGAATATCTGGTTCTGTTCATCGGTGCATGCAGTCCTATAACTTTACAGAAATATAGACGCATCTTGTCCCCATCCCTCTGGGAAGAGATCCTACATATGTCATCAGGGTCATCTACAGATTGCTAAATCAGGATCCTACATATGTCATCAGGGTCATCTACAGATTGCTAAATCAGGATCCTGCTAAGACTCATGATCTTACCTAGATTGGGTAATGAAACATAAGCCAGAAAACAGCAAAACTCAGAGAGCACCAAGGATCCCTCATTTCCACCCAGAGCTACACATATTCTCCTTTTTTTGATACCCTGTTCTCTGTCAGCACTTGTCCCTGTATCGTATATTCTGAATTAAAATAGTTAAATCCAATACATCATCCTTCTTTCTGTGTCCATGTATGTATATTATTGTAAAAAAAAAATCAGCTGATTTTTAAAATTATTTTTATTTCAGAAAGTGGGGAAACACTTTGTCAAATTGACAATTAACAAGTAGGTAGGTTTTCTAAAGCCAGCTAGGGGGAAATATTTTAATAGATAATTAACTCTTCCTGGAATTGGTCCAAATTACTATCATGTGTTTATTTGCTCAAAGCTCCAGAGATTTTCTAGAAAGCAGTGAAAAGTAGAAAGCAAGTTTGAAAGAGGTTATAAACTAATCCTGGTTCAATGGAGAGCTTGGGATGGTGGGAAATGTCCAACAGGACTATTGAGTTCAATTTCTCCAGCATCTGTTCTTTCTTTGATCAGACCTATTTCAAATCTGAGTTGTTATTCAAGTACGTGTCTGTATCCCCATCAA